TGGAGGGGAAACTGTGGCAAATTGGAATGTGTCATTCACTACTCAGATCCAACTAATTATTGGGGGGAGAAAAAAAGAAAATGCAGACCTAGTGTAGGCAAAAATAACATAATTTTAAATTGAAAAATTATTGAAAAGATTTAAACACTATGTGAATGAAACAAAATTCTTCTGTAAGTCAACTTTAACATGCAGTATGCCAGTTTTCAACCTCTGCTCTAAAATCTGAATAACTATTTCCATTCTTCTACCTGTTCAACCCTGAGGATGGTGTTAACTTCTCTAGGCCTCTCTCCCCTCATCTGTAAAATGGACAAAATTACAGTGACATTAACAACAGAGTTGTTAAAATGCTTAAATGAGATCATCCATTCTAAGTACTTACAGCATATATCACATCCCTCAATAAATGGTTTGTTTCCGCTTTTTTATTACATAAAAATGGAAATTTTCTATATATTAAAATAAGTCATCAATACTGACTGGCTAACAAAACAAAAATATTGGAAAGCATTCTAAGTACTTACAGCATATATCACATCCCTCAATAAATGGTTTGTTTCCGCTTTTTTACTACATAAAAATGGAAATTTTCTATATATTAAAGTAAGTCATCAATACTGACTGGCTAACAAAACAAAAATATTGGAAAGAAATATGAAAATAAAATAGTATATGATTTATACTAAATATTAGAAATAAAAACACTAAAATCTCTAGAAAAATGGACAAAGAAAGAAAACAACTGAAAATTACCTTTACTAGTAAAAAATGAAAATTATAAATCAAAATAAAGCATTACTACCTAATTATTAAATATCATATATATTGCATTAGTGTATAATTCCTCATTATATAGGATTAGCATATGACTAAACAATTATTTATTCTGAGTGGCACTGCCAATTGGTATAAAACTTTTACAAAACTAATTTGCCAATAAGCATCGAAAGTGTTAAATAGTTCTACCATTTGATTCAGGTTTCCCAACTCTAGAAATACATCTTAAGGAGTTAAAACAGTTCAATGTCATATTGTTTACAGGAGTGTTATTATTATTGTTACTGAATCACCAACTACAAGGAAATGTCTAAGTAAAATATGTCACATCCATTTGGTAGAAAATCTGTATTTACTTAAAAAATGTTTATGGGAACATTAAAAATGCTGTTATTAAGTCATAAAACAGCATTGAAAATGACATGTATCCTATGATAACTATTGAAATTATAAATATAATTTATTTAATCAATATAAATTTAGTGAGCCCTTGAAAGTCCTAGACTTCATTCTAGATTTTGGGGTTCAGTAGCTTTTAAAAAGAAGACAAAAATTCCAGCCCTTACTGAATATATATTCCTCTAAGGTTTTTAATCACTTTAGTCTCTGAATTCTAATACAAAAGACTGGTGATTGAAAGAACAGAAGATGGTTGTATTTCAGATGGAAATTTGAATGATTCTTCCCCTGCTACTTTTCTGTATTTTTCAAATTGCATCTAATGCTCTAACTACTACTATAAAGTAACTAACTTAGATTTGTGGATTCCAGGTTGGGAACTACAAAGTTAATATTACATGTGGATTTAAGAGCTATTTTCAGTTGGTTTACCCTAACAGAAATACTGTCTATAGATGTTAAGGCTTCAAATACTAAAACATTAAATGTGTTTGCTTGCCATCTGAGCTGTACATGTGTGTGTATGTGCATGTACATGTGGACTGGTATCTATCTTGGATTGCAAACAGTGGTGATTTTTCAGCATATTGATCAGAAATTTGCATTGATGATATTTTATGTGTCACTTTAATGAAAATGGAAAAGGATTCGTTAATACACTATAGCTTATTAATAAATGTCTTTGAAAACATTATATTTGTAAAAGGAAAGAAATTAATTGTGACAAGTTTGGAAGCAAGTGAAGAGGATGATCTGTAAGATCTGTTAGTTGCAGTGCCCAATGTAGAACTTTCAGTCAAGGCTCTAGAGTAACATGAGATTTTGAGCATTAACTTTAAGAGCTGACATAATTCCAACCAAAAGCAATGGCTGCTAATGACATATTTCATTTTTACATTAAATAGGTCAAACTATAGCCTTCAGTTTTTACATGGAAATCCCAATAAACAAAGGTCGGAATTTAACCCTGTAAATATGAAACATAAAAATTCAAGACACCCTGGGGTCTCTTCTTGCTGGCATTCTTGTTATCCATAAACTACAAACATCAAACTCCTTTGATGAAAAAAAAAATAGATAAAAAAGAAAAAGTCTCACAACTCTCTGAAACAGTTATTGTAAACCTCAAAGGGTACTATGACTTCTTAACCTGCTATCCCAACAGAAATGATTGTGTCTAACTGCTTGCCTTTGTTCAGAGACTAATCACTAAATTGTGAAAAATCACCCTCAACTTACAAAAACTGCTCTTGATTATAAATAATTGCCCAAGACTGAGAGAAAGTGGCAGGCAAGATCCCAGTCTTTCAACCAATTTATTCAGCAGCAATCCACATTCCATTTGTCTAGACTAAATATAGCAGCATTTATACAAGAAATCAATAGTGCTTGCAGAGAGGAGAGCAAAGGCATGAATATTTCATCAAACTCAGACAGAAATGGCAATCAGCAAACTGATGGTTCTGTGTAGGTCATCTTTGGCCTGCTGGATTAGTTCTTGTTACTTGGACAATAGCTCATCTCTGACTAATCATAATTGTATCATAGCCACTCTTTCTATTTTTAACATTAATTGCATTGTGGTGACAAAGGCTCATCCTGTTGCAAAAGGAATGTTGAATTTTCTTACATCTTTGGTGACAGGCTAATAAGCCTCCCAGCAGCAATAATAGTAACACAATACCAGGACTGAGTTTCAACAAGTTACAGTTACTTTCATATCACAGAAAGGTATAGACAGTGTTCTTATAGCTGACATATTATCATAATCAGAAATAATCAACGTACAAGGAGAAATTAAGCACCAGTTTTAACAGTGGGTAAATGAAATTATCTCTGTTCCCAACATTCTTTGTCCGGGAACATGCAAATTTCCTCACAAATTACTTAGAACAGGTGGCCAGTGATACATAAGTTGGAAAGAAGTTGATGACAACAAATATTAGTTTCAGCATTAGCTATAAATGAGTCATGTCTTTTTTAACTCAAAACCTCGTGGCACAAGTGGGAAAGGACCCTGACATCGCTAGCTTTACCTGGATTCACCCTGTTTGTCTGATATTGCAAATACATACAAACACATAGATGTTATATATTTGTATTATTATTTTTATTATTATATACCAAATGCCTAGTCAGAACATT